TGCAGAGTACAAGAATGCCTCCTGGCGAAGATTGCATCTGTTAGAGAAGTGGTGCTAGGTGCCCTTCTAAGAGTCATCTGAAATATCTTGCTTCAAGAACCCGTTGCTCTGATATAGATCGGCTTGTTGCACTCGTGCATCGACCAAATGAGTCTTTCTTTCTCGTCCCACAGGTACCCATGTGGACATTTCTTTTCCTTTGATCTCTCTTTTTCTCTTTCTTTCTTTCTTTTTTTTTCCCCTAAAAACAAATAAAGAAGACAAGCACTAAGAGATTGCCACCACGTGTCAAAAGAGTTTTCCAGTTTTTTCTCTTCTCCATAAGAGTGACTATGAAACAAAAATTATAGCAACTATATCTATCAAATAGATAGGGCTTTTCCAATAAAATCCTGCTATTTTTTCAATCCAAACTAGTCAAAATTAGATAGCGAAATCAAGTCAATTTCTCTTTATCTCTTTTTGAATTTGTTGCCCACAGCCTGCAAACAATTCCTCTGCTACTCTCTCTTGCTGGTCTGTCCACAAACACATTCCTTAACCATATGGTTATTTTAATTTTGATTTCAATTATGGATTTAGTCTTGTTTGGACTGAGCTCATAATTTTGCAATAAAATGTGTAAGATGGATAATCATGCTTGTGTCATTTTTCTTGCATCTTCTTTACAATTAGTAAACATAATAATCCTTGCTTTTGACAGGCAGATAAGGTCACCGTGGTCTTTCCTATGAGATTTAAGGATTTCATAGATACCGTTCTTGCAACTTCCTTCTTGCAGGTAAAATGTTATCATGCCCAAAGTTTTAATAATGAATTGGATGTTCTGAACAAATTAGATGTTATTATCCCTACTTTGGGATCTTTTCATAATCAATTCGATCTTCTTATGAGATTTGATCTTATTTTAACCCAATAATAGCATATTGGCATACTTTGGCCCTTACCACTTATGATTAATTCTCATAGGCCTTTGATCTCCTAGTAGATACCCTAGTAACTTTCTTTTCTTGCTAATTCTGCTAATGTTTATTAACGAATTACCTTCTATTTGTATAGGGAAGACCATAACATTAATTTCCTAACTTTGAGGATCTTTAGTTGATCTTATTACTTTGATTCACGCAAAAGAATTCCTTTTCTTCCTATCCAATGTTAGATGCCTTTGACAGGGCTCTGATCTGGAGGAAAAATAAAGAAGAAGAAGGAGAAGATGAAGAAGAATGTTGAAGAAAGAAAACAGAGGTAATTTTGTTGGTTCTTAATTCGATGATTACATAACAATGAAAAGGGGCTTTTATTGGTGTAAAAGCAATAAAGAAAACATCCTCAATGGCTGGAATCATGCTTGTTGGAATCGTGTGATGATAATGAGTTTGGCATTGGCTGTGGGATGAGATGATGATGACCAAGGCGCCGGCTGCGAGATGAACTGATTAGGGTTTGTCAACCCTAATGCCAGCTGGCTCTGTACATTTACTATTTTGTCCTTTAGGGGGCTAATTTCCCATTTTTCCCTTCTTTGTATAATAGACCCTTAGGGGTTCCCTCCCCTTGAACAATAACCTTGTCTCTCAGGTTGAGGTGCAGGAATTGGTATTGTAAATACTTGTAGTCTTCCCATGTGCATTCTTCGGTTGGATCCCCTTCCCAACAAACAAGAACTTGGTCTACTGGTTAGTTGCCTTAGAGAATGGTTTTTCGTTGTAAGATCATTGGGGTTGTACACTGATGAACCCTTTAGTGGCTTGAGGGGGCAAGTCTTATTGGATTACCTATGTGCCGAAGAGATACTTCTTGAGTTGGGACACATGGAAAACCGGGTGGATCCTTGACTCTTCTGGTAATTGGAGCTTGTATGCTACTTTCCCAAATTTCGAAGAGACTTAGAATGATCTGTAGTAGCGGGACAATAGTTTGGAGTCTCGTCCCTTCTTGAGTGTTCTTTGTTTGAAAGGTTGTAATTTGAGTAACACCCAATCATGAACTTCAAAACTACTTTCACTCCGATGATTAGTTGCATATTGTTTGATCTTTGACTGTGCCTATAATAGATGTTGACAGATGGTCTTGTTGGGCTCTTTCCTTTCTGCTAAGATCATCTCTACTGAAGGTGATGCAGAGCAGAACTATATGAAATCTAAGAAATGTGAAGGGGGATACCATAGAGTGCTTAGAAGGGGGTCATCTTCAAGCTTGTATGGTACGAAGTATTATACCACCATTTAGTTGCAGCCAACCATTTGACCCAAGTTTTTGGTTATAAGTTAGCCATGCATCGTAAATACATCTCTAGATACTGATTGAGTGTTTTTGTTGGCCCGTCCGTCTGGGGATGATATGATGAACTGAAAAACAAATTTGTCCCTATTGCCTTCATTAGCTCTTTCTAGAAAAAGCTGGTAAATATTTTATCTCGGTCGGACACTATCACATATGAAATTCAATGCAGCTTGTGTACCGTCTCCATATAATTTTGGGCTACTCCAGTTGCAGTAAAAGGGTCCATAGGGAAATAAAATGCCCATACTTGATGAAGCGGTCTACCACTACTAATATAGTATCCTTACTTTCTAATTTGGGCAACTGCTCAATGAAGTCCATGGATATATGCGTCCAAGTATGTGGTGGAACGGACAGGTGGTTGTAGTAGCTCGGGTGTGGGGACTCGCTCTGTTTTGCAGTTTTGACAAATATCGCATTGTTGGACTCACCATAAAAGTTGTTTGTTCATATTGGGCCAATAGAAGTGTTGTTTGGGCTGTTCATAAGTCGTTTTAGCTCCAGAGTGACCTCCCACTGCTGAAGTATGATACTGATAAAGCAGATGATTGTGAAGTTCTTCTTTATCACCTATCACTAATCTCCCCTTTTACCTCATGATGCCCTGTTGTAGAGAAAAAAGGAGCCTACTATTAGGAGAGACCATTAGTTCCAATAGCAGTTGTTTGGTGAAGGGGTCGTTGTTGTAGCTGTTGTTTACTTCTACCATCTAGGCAGGCATAGATGTGGAGAGAGTGTATAAGACTTCTGCTTCCGAGTAAAGGGAGTCTCTTCTTGAGAGAGCATCAGCTAACTTGTTGGACGACCCTTGCTTGTATTGGATCGTATAATTTAGCCCAACAGCTTCAAAATCTCATTCTATTGTACCATGGAGGACATGCTTTGATCTAAAGAGTACTTTAGGCTGCATGGATCAGTTCTGATGACGAAGAGTCCCTTCTAAATAATATTGCCATTGTCCCACGGCATAGAGAATTGCCCATAAATTCTTTCTCATATATTAATTTAGTCTGATTCCTTAGAAAATGTTATGGTTTGATTCTTTTGCATTATGATTGCTTCAATCCCCTTGTTGCTTAAATTTGTGTCAATAATAAAAAGATCTCTAAATTTGGGCAGTCGTAGGATAGGGCTGGAAGTTATGACTGCTTTTAATGACTGAAATGCCTTATCAGCTTCTACATTCCATTCAAAAGCACATTTTTTTTAAGAAATTGGTGAGTGGTTGGACTATGAGTCCATAATTCTATTTGAACTTGCGGTAGTATTTTCTTAGGTCCTGAAATCCTCTAAGGGCCTTAATTGTTCAGGGATTGGGCCATTGACCATTTTTTTTATCTTTTGGGGGTCTGATTTTACCCCTCAAATGGAGATAATATGCCTGAGATACTCCAACTCCATTTGGAAGAAACAACACTTGGATTAATTTCATCCCTGTTGTCTTGGAGTGTCTTTAGAACTTCTTCTAAGTGATTTAGGTACTCATGCTTAGTGTTATTGTAGACCAATATGTCATTAAAGAAAACCAGCACAAACCTTCAAAGAAATGCCTTGAAGATGTGATTCATGAGGCTCTAGAAGGTTGTCAGGGCATTATTCAAGCGAAAGACATTACTCTGAATTCATAATGGCCCTAATGCGTGCGGAAAGCTGTTTTATGGATATTTTCTTCCTTCACCCTAATTTGATGATATCCTGCTCGAAAATTAATTTTAGAGAATATATTTGCACCATATAATTTGTCAAGAAGATCGTCAATAATTGGTATGGAAAACTTATCTTTTACGGTCAGAGAATTGAGTTTTCTGTAATTTACACAAAACCTTCATGTGTCATCTTTCTTTCTAACAAGCAGTACTTGTGAAGAGAATGGACTAAGACTGAGTTGTATTAATGAGTCATTCATCATTTGTGGTATCTGTTTTGTTTATTGTTCTTGTCATGGAACGAGTACCTGTAGGGTTGAATATTCATAGTGGCATTCTTTTGGGACAAGGTGATGACATGGTCGAAGGCTCTGAGTGGAGACAGCCCGTGGGGCTCCTAAAAGACATCTTGATATTGTCTAAGTAGTGCTTCAAGTGCCGGGTTGGGTATCTCTAGAGTTAGTACCTCTTTTGGAACTTTCATTATTAGGAACACTATTCTGCCTTCAACTACTTGCTTCCGTTTGACCCACTGCTTTGCCTTTGTTTCTCTTGTCTCGGTTGTTTCACGAGAGGCACTTCTGTATAATGATATCCGTAAGTTTTCAAATTAAATCTTACCTTTACATGCATGAAATTAAACATCATTGGACTAATTGCTTCATTCAATTGACTCCTAATATCATGTCGTAACCGCCTGATGCAGAAATTGTAGGTGAACTTGTAGTCTTGCATAGTCCACGTCACCTCTGATCATTCAAGGTAGGTAGACATCTTTTACTCGTTTGCCACCATAACTATTAGTGGTTTACTGTTGACCATCTGATTCTTGACCCATTTAGAAACTCCCTCATCCAAGAAAGAATGTGAGCTTCCATTATCCAGTAGAACATCATGCGCTAATAATTTCCCTCGTATCTTCAGGGTGCTCCCTGTGGTTACCCTTTCTATTGTTTGTATGGAAAGAGTGTCAGTGAGGTCTTCGTCAACCTCTTTAACTTCCTCTAAAGTTTTGTCTTCCGAGATCTCTTCGGTCATGATCTCCTCTACCACCATCACCGCTTTGTTGGAGTATCAGTGCTTTGAAAAATACTAATCTCCACATTTGTAACAAACTATTGATCTTTTAGATTCTGCTCCTCCCCCACGCTCTCAGAAGGCCTATCATTATATGGGTCTTTTTTTTATAATGGAGCATCATAGCTGGAAAGACAGGAATCCGAAACTCTATTACTGATTGTTCTTGCGGTAATGCATGTTTGATTGCTCGATTTGAGTGTTTGTGCTTTGAGAATCCTTATCATGGGGTTGTAGCTGTGACTTGAGGCCACCGATAAAAGTGGATATGAAAAATCTCATTGAAAGCGTTGGGTTGTCTGTATCCATAAGAGAACATAAATATTCAAATTATTCTACATAATTAAGAATGGTACATGTTTTGTATAATTTGGTGAACTCTTCTATAAACTCTTTCCGTAAGGGTACTCCGAACCGTCAGTAGAGTTTTTCCGCAAAGTATTTCTAGTTTAAGGTGTGAAATTTAGCTAACCACTCTTGATACCATATATCGGCTACTTCTCCCAAATATAGGGACATTACCTCCACTTTTTACTCTTCAAGAGTGTTGTGAACCATAAAATACTTTTCACATTGTTGCACCCACCCGCGAGGGTTTCCTCCTTCAAAAAGGGGAATTTCCACTTTAGGGAGCATGGAATGGTTGGTCGGACCGGATCGGTTCACGGTCGTGGGCGATCTAGCTCAATCCAGAGGCTCCACTTTGTAATTTTTTGTCAGCCCATTCGGGTGTGGGTTGGGCCAATTTGTGTCAAACCAGTTTGGGTCAGACCGA